TTTGACATGTTGACTGTTGGTTAGTTGATTTATTCTCTGCGTGGCTGGCTAAATGGGTAATTGATTTATTCCATGATTGGTTAGCCGATTTATTGGTTGACGTATTTCTTGGCTGGCTGATAATTTGATTTATTGCATGGTTAGTAGCTTTATTGGACAGCCGATTGGTTGGTTGTCTGTATAAATGTTTATTCGACAGCCGATTGGTTGGTTGTCTGTATAAATGTTTATTCGACAGCCGATTAGTTGGTAACTTAGGCAACAAATGAACAAACTCAGGTGAAAGTGATCACCACAAGGAAGATTAATAAAATAAGATAGCAAAGGAACCGTCCTTGAAAAAGCAGGCCATCAGGCGGCTAAAAAAGGACTAAGCTTGAGATTTTTGTTTGATTTTATACGATACGATACGATTAGTTGGTTGTCTGTATCAATGTTTATTCGACAGCCGATTGGTTGGTTGTCTGTATAAATGTTTATTCCTTGTTTGACTGATCAAAACTATTTGCCGTCCTTTTTAGGATGACATTTTTCGTTATTTGAAGCCCCACCCTGGCTCTTGCCAGGGGCCGCAATATAGCCAAGTTATAAATATGCCCAACTGGCTGAACGCGGTTTCTGGAACCTTTCCACGGTGATCCTCATCCACATGGTGGCACACTGTGTCATCGGGTGTTTATCGCTTGTGTGATGTCCTGGTGGCGTAGAAAGTCAGTCAGTCAGTCAGTTTGACTGACTGGTTAACTGATTTATTCCTTGGTGGCTGGTTAGTTGGATCATTTAAAGGTTGATTTTAATGGTCTATAGTAAATGAGGCATGGTACAGCGGCTAGACATTCGCCTGCGGATCCGAAGATAGTTGGTTTAGGTCCTAACAGAACCAGATCCCCCCCGACCCCCAAAAAAAGGTCGACCTAGCCATGAATGGGTACCAGGTATTAGTCCTTTGAAATAGATACGCTCGTTATTACGTTGACCACATCACCCACCGACTGCAAATTTGTCCATGAAATATAGGTCTAGCCCTATATGTCCAATACGCCAGAAGATGTAGAAAAATGTCGTTTGAGTTTACCCTAAATGATGCATAAAATATAGAAGAATAAACCATAGAACGTAGGGAAACCTTCGTCCACGCCAACTGGCAAGTTAATGGGCTTATACCAGTCAATTCTCTTGGCGTTAACTGGTTAGGCTATTGATCTCATACATTTCTGAAGAAAAATAGATATTGTGATCAGAAACGACACGAATTGAGTCCCCAATCAATTTATTCTGGTTAAAATGGCTCCGTATTCGCCAAACAAGAAACACGATTGTGCCATGGAAATTTTTCAAGTATGTTACTCATGACAAAAGCGGTAATAACCCAATTTATATCAGGTACAGTAATAGTGTTACAGAATTTCATCAGCCCACTAACAAGTTCCATAACTTGTCAGATATAAGCCCTGAAGTCTTGTAGTCGGAGTTGTGTTTCTTGGGAGATTCCGTTTTGAGAATTGAGGATTTGCTATCATAAGAAATCAAAACAATGCGAGGATCTAGTTACCACTTATGAGAAAGTACTTGGATTTTTCTGACGTCTTCAGCGTTAAGTTAACGAACTGCACACATAACGTTTAGTATTTGAACCTAAACCTGCTGGTAGACGTTGTCTAATCGAGGTCACAGAACAGCATGTAGAACATTGCAAGAGGTGAATTTGTGTGTGTGTGTGTGTGAATGCAGGGGTGTGAGGGGGGGGGGGTTAAAAGACCCTTTACAAAAGCGATTAAGGTCACAGCGCCTGGATTACATAGACGTATATCACTTTCCACTGCTATATTGTTTCTGTTGTTGTTGTTGTTGTTGTTATAAAACAGGAGAATAAAACTCAGGAACGTTGATGAGGATGACGATGAAGATGATGAAAATGATAAAGAAGCAGGAGGAGAAAAAGAAGGAGAAGAAGAAGAAAGTGAAAAAGAAGAATAGGTAGTAGAAGTAGTAGTAGTAGTAGTAGTAGTAGTAGTAGTAGTAGTAGTAGTAGTAGTAGTAGTAGTAGTAGTAGTAGTAGTAGTAGTAGTAGTAGTAGTAGTAGTAGTAGTAGTAGTAGTAGAAGTAGTAATAGTAGTAGTAGTAGCAGCAGCAGCAGCAGTAGTAGTAGTAGTAGTAGTAGTAGTAGTAGTAGTAGTAGTAGTAGTAGTAAGTAGTAGTAGTAGTAGTAGTAGTAGTAGTAGTAGTAGTAGTAGTAGTAGTAGAAGTAGTAGTAGTAGTAGTAGCGATAACAGCAGTAGAAGCAGTATCAGTTGCAATGGTACTACTGCTACCACCAATACTACTACTATTACTGCAGCTAAAGGGGAGCAAACGAATGAATAGACCCAACAACAGGTAACTAGAAGCCAAGGTAAGATGTCCATCTACCTGTCTTGTTGAGATTGGGCCACTTGCCCAACCCACACGGCTCACAGTCTGTGTTGTTGCCCACCAGAATCTCGTTGTCCAGGCACGTGCTGCAGATCCAGCAGCACATGACTCCCTTGACTTTCTGTGGGCAGTTTACAAACATCAGGTTAACTCATTCCGTACCAACCAACTCAGGATGCGTTTGCAGCAACTTCTTCTTCTTTCTTCTTCTTCTTCTTCTTCTTCTTCTTATTCTTCTTCTTCTTCTTCTTCATATTCTTCTTCTTCTTCTTCTTCTTCTTCTTCTTCTTCTTCTTCTTCTTCTTCTTCTTCTTCTTCTTCTTCTTCTTCTTCTTCTTCTTCTTCTTCTTCTTCTTCTTCTTCTTCTTCTTCTTCTTCTTCTTCTTCTTCTTCTTCTTCTTCTTTTTCTTTTCTCCCTCTTCCACTTTCTTCTTCTTCTTCTTCTTCTTCTTCTTCTTCTTCTTCTTCTTCTTCTTCTTCTTCTTCTTCTTCTTCTTCTTCTTCTTCTTCTTCTTCTTCTTCTTCTTCTTCTTCTTCTTCTTCTTCTTCTTCTTCTTCTTTTTCTTTTTCTACTTCCTCTTCTTCTTCTTTTTCTTTTCCCCCTCTTCCACTTTCTTCTTCTTCTTCTTCTTCTTCTTCTTCTTCTTCTTCTTCTTCTTCTTCTTCTTCTTCTTCTTCTTCTTCTTCTTCTTTTCCCCCTCTTCCACTTTCTTCTTCTTCTTCTTTTCCCCCTCTTCCACTTTCTTCTTCTTTTCTTCTTCTTCTTCTTCTTCTTCTTCTTCTTCTTCTTCTTCTTCTTCTTCTTCTTCTTTTCTTCTTCTTCTTCTTCTTCTTCTTCTTCTTCTTCTTCTTCTTCTTCTTCTTCTTCTTCTTCTTCTTCTTCTTCTTCTTCTTCTTCTTCTTAGTCGTCGTCGCCGGCTGTAAACTCCGGCGAAAAGTTCTCATTCGTCCACTTATGGACTACAACTTTGTTTCAGAACTTGAATATTGCGTGTACGTCTGCTTTACCGATCTGCTTTACCGATCTGCTTTACCGATCTGCTTTACCGATCTGCTTTATCGATCTGCTTTACCGATCTGCTTTACCGATCTGCTTTTTGTTTTTTTAAATGGAGACTAGGTATTTCGTCTCTCGGGCAGATGCATTCTTTTCCCACTAAAATTGGACCATTTTGTTCAACGTTATACTACCAGTGCCAAATATGGACCTTTTTATTCAAAGTAACATACGTAAAATCATAACAACAGAGACGAGCTGCCGAGGAAACAAAAAGAGATACAGTTAAAAATTAGGAAATGAGAAAAGTAGGCTGACATTGAAACCATCTGTAAAGTTTATTAAAGAGCAACAAAAAAGATTGTTTGGCCATCTGTCGATAGCGAAGTCTAACTACCATAGCGAGTCACGCTGAATAACTACAACGAAGACAAATTAAGAGGAAGACCACGCATTATTGGAACGATGGCATCAATAAATAATAAAGATCGTCTTATACAAAGTCTTATACTCCGCCTCCAGATTACACACACACACACACACATGTATATATATAAACACACACACCCATCTCCCAAACACTATTTCTACTAGCCATCCTATTATGGGATGCAATTTTTCGTTATTTAAAAGCCCAACCCTGGCTCTTGCCAGGAGCCGTAATATAGCCCAGCCATACATATGGTTTAATGACTGAACGAGGTTTCTGCGACCTTTCCACGGATGATTTTCAACCACATGGTGGCAGTCTGTGTCATCGGGAGTGTATCGCTTGTGTGATGTCCTGATGGTGTAAAATGCACTACTACTACCCAAACACTTCGGTGAAGTAATCGTTCTGAAAGATGAGAAGAAGAGAAAAAAAAAAAAAGAAGTACAGACACGGGTTCTTAAACAAAGATAAAAAAATTATAAATAGCCCCAGATAAGAAAAAGAGGAAAAAAGAAGTATAAACACGGTGTCTTAAACAAAGATAAAAAAAAATTATAAATAGGCCCACACGCATGCAAACACACACACACATACACACATACACATACGTTTGAAGAGACTTGCAGACAGAAAGAGTCTTATTTATATCTTTCCTTGAGCCTCACTTGAAAGGTTTGCAGGGAAGTTTTGACTTAACAGCCAGAGTCCGACAGCCTGCCTGTTTTTACAATTCTCACACAGGAATGTTTTCATAGACAGAGATATAAAGAAAACACAGATATTGCAGTCAAACAGTAAGAAAGATAAAGCTTGAGAATACAAATTAAAAAAAAAATGGATAGGCATATGGACAGAGTGTGACAGATGGACAGGCAGACAGGCACATATTAACAGACAGACAAACAGGCAGAAGACAGACATGCAAACATTCTGTGTGACAGACAGACAAACATGCAGGCAGGTCTTGTGTGACAAACTGACTGACAGACAGACATGCACGAAGTAACAGACATTCAAAGTTACCTTTGCTTGGTTACTCTTGCACGGCTCGCTACAGATAGACTTGATCATATCCACGCTGTGGTTGCCCTGCCGAGGCCAGTAGACCTCCTTGTCAGTCAAGGTCAGCGACCCCATAAACCAATAGCCGATGGTGACATAATCATAAGTCAAGTTTCCGTCTGGCGTGCGGATTGGTTGGTAATTCATTATGTCATAC